CCTTGCTATCAAATAACTTCTAAAATATATTATCATTTGGTAAGATACTGATTATTGGTGCAGGACAGATATTCATTTTTATCATAATAAGAAACAATTCTCATACTTTCATTAACTTAAAAAAAATAAAAAATGAGTGTTCAATTTTATCAAATGCTTTTTGGCACTTTACAGAGATCATTATTTTTAAAATTTGATCTATGGGTGTTGTATCTCTATTACATAACAGGCACTTCCCTGTAATGATTGAGATTCAGGCATTTGAGTTAGATGGTCTTTGAAACATGACTTGTCCAACCGGGGTCATAGGCAAATTGCTCAACCTCTCTAAGCCTTAGTTTCCTCATCTATGTGATGATGGTGATGTCTGTTTTTGTACGGTGAGAGGATTAAAGCACATGGCAAATACTCAATGTCAATTTCCATCACTGTAATAATCAATTTCCCAGACACGCCTGAGCTAACTTTTTGATATTACCATGTATTTACCTCTGTATTCGTAAGTGAGATGAACCTGGAGAGTTTTTCATCTTTTTCTGTGCCTCGAATTGGTTTATATTACATAGGAATTGAGTATACCTCACAAGTTAGAAAAAACTCATTTGAAAAACCATCTAGAGACAGATTTTGAGGAGATAACTCTGATAATGCTTTTAATTTCTAAATAATAATGGCTGGTATTTATTGGATGCTTATTACTATGTGCCAGAAGCTATGGTAACTGTTTCACATACCTCGTCTTATTTCATCTTCACAAGTAGGTATCGTTTATGTCTGTCTTATCTAATCCTGAGGTTAGTCATTATTGCTCCCATCTTACATAGAAGAAGACTGAGGCTTCGGGAGCTTAAATAATGAGGCCAAGCTCATGCAGAGAATGACCCTGTGAAGGTTAATTCTAGACGTCAACTTGGTTAGATGAAGGAATGCTGAGAAACCTGGTAANGTGGGTGGGAACCATCCAATCCACTGGGGGTCTGGAGAGAACAAAAGACAGAGGAAAGAGGCGAAGTTCTCTCGATCCGCTGGAGCTGGGACACACTCTTTTCTCCTGTCCGTGGACATCAGATCTTGAGACTCTTCAGCTTTTGGGTTCCAGGCTTTACACCAAGGACACCATCAGCTTCCCTGGTTCTGAGGCCTTTGGACTTGGACTGAGCCACGCTACCGGCATCCAGTTTACAGATGTCTATCGTGGGACTTTTCTTCATAGCCATGTGAGCTAATTCCCCTAATAAATCCCTCTCACATAATTATAACATATCCTATTGATTCTGTCTCTCTGGAGAACCCTGACTAATACAGACCCCAAGTTCTCCGCCTTCAGTGGCTAGATACCATGCTGCTTCCCAAACTTCCTTCTTCTAGCTTGGTTTGGTTTATGATATGTTTAAGTTTTCTGTGCCTTATGGAACCCATTTATATTTTTCTAGAAAATCATCGATTTTACTGAGATTCCATCAAAAAAATCTTAGTAGTTCAACCATGGTTTTTATCTCTTCTGTTTTTGTGCATATATTCCTTATGTTATTAATTTCTTTTATTTGTGTTTCCTCCTTTTCTTGGATATTAAATTGGGGGAAAAGCACGGTAATGCAGAGGAGGCTGGGTGATATTATAAAATGAAAATAAAGGGTATTTTTAAATCTTCCATTTCCATCTAACTTTGCTCGCCTTCCACCTTTCCCCACTCCAGACTTTAAAGAACAGAATGCTTAAGGCTAGAAAGAGCCTTAGGAGTACTTTGTTGCCTCCTTAATTCAGCGGGGCCTAGAGAGGGCTTTTACCTATCCCAGGTCTCACAGTTAGCAAGTGACAGAGCCAGAAGCCAGGCCTCCATCTCTCTGTCTTGTTCTCTTTCCATTGTACCAGAGTTAGTTTTCTGAACAATAGATTAGTGAACTTTTAAAATCTTTAAAAGTTACTTAATTTTAAAAGGTTAAGAGTCTGCCTAACAATATTGATAGTTACTTTAATCCATATGATTTTCATAAAAGTCATCTTCTATGGTAATTTTGTTTTAAATCATTCCTTCTAGAATGAATCTATCTGAAGAAATCAGCCCCAGGCAGGAGCAGGAAAAGGGGTGTCTTTTTATTCTACCTCTGATGTTATGCTGCACCTGTTAGAAAGGGCATGAGAAAGCTCCTTTATTGGGCAAGAGGGAGACTTAATAAAATGGAATCCAGCCTTAACCACAGTCTGAAACCAGCAGAACAAATGCTCTTAGCACATTGATGAAGTGTGATTTTGAGATGCCTCGCAGGGCACTACACTAGTGTGGGTCTGGGCATCAAAATTCAGCACAGTGAAAGAGGGCAGGACAGTCCCTACCTCAATGATGGAACAAGGCATACCAAACTCTCACATGGCCCAGGCACCTTTTCACAGCATAATTACCTTAAATTGCTCATTTTCCAGTTGTTCAGAGTGTGTGTGTGTGTGTGTGCACGTGTGCAAATGAGCAGATGTTTCTGCTGACTGTCAGATCAGCAATCTGCACTTAGACCCCCAGGAACAACCTTCTCTTTGAGGTTAGGCTATTTGCCACTTAAATAATGACATCTGTCGTAATTTTCATACCTCATCCTGTCCTGGATCTTATCTCCAAACTGTGCTCAGAATGAATGCCTACATTTTCTATGATAGACCAACCCCATCTTTAATAACTCTACCCTAGACACCCTTGTGGTGGAATGTTTTAGGGTTGAATAATACCTAATAATTTTTTAGGGCTTCCCATGTGCTTTCCCATGTGTATAAATGACTTTACGAACAGCATAAGTCACTGAGCCCACAAAAGAACTATGTGAGATAGGTTATTTGCCCCATTTTAAGATACAGAAACTGAGGCACTGAGTTCAATAACTCTCATCTAGAAGGGGACAGACCTGGGATCCGTACGTACTTCTGTTTGACTTCTAGGCTATATACTGCTTTGATTGACACAGCTGCTGTGTGTCATTTGGCTAGTAAGATGCTCATGATACAGGCATGCAGTTTTGAGTGAAGAGCCAAAATAAGATACTGGTTTTAAAATAATGGAAGGCACATTTATTGAATGCAGGATTCTCAACTGGGAGAAATACCTCCTACTCAGAGGGCATTTGGAGATGTGTGGGGTCATTTCTGGTCATTTTGGTTGTTACATTGACCTGTTACATTGGTGGGCTTCCAAGATGCTCCATGTCCTGCAGTGTGTGAAAGTTCTAGACAACATGGACTTGTCTGGCCCCAAACATCAGATACTACTGAGAAACATTGGTAAAGTAGAACAGTAATAATTAAAAATGATGCTATAAAACTCAGGGGTGGCAAACACAAATGCCCTTGGGATCAGTCAGGACCTGAAGAGAACATGGCCCATTTTAGGGCATCCACATTCAAATCTTTAAAGCATAGCATCAAACAAAAATCACCTAGGTGCTGGATTTGGCCAGTGGGTCCTCAGACTGGGGCATTTCAATGAAGGTTTTTCTGCTCTGGAAACGTGTCCAATATATTAAGTGAAAAAAAAATGCTACTAATCTGTATGATCCCATGTTCTAAAAATATTGTATATGTGTATATACATGTTTGTGCACACATACATATACAGGCTGTGTATATCTATGAAAGTGTTTGGAAAATACAGCATTATTAGCAATAGTCAGCCTAGAGCCCCAGAACTTGCTCTTCCTATCTACTTGTAACTTTGTACCCATTGATCCACCTCTTACCCTCTCCTCTACCCCTCTTCTTTCCTTTCTTGGCCTTTGCTGTGGTAACCATTACTGTACTCTCTACTTCTATGAGAACCACTTTTTTTTTTTTTTTAATTTTCCACTTATGAGTGAGATCATGCAGTATTTGTCTTTCTGTGCCTGCTTACTTCACTTAGCAGGGTGGTCTTCAGTTCCATCCATGTTGATGCAAATGACAGGAGTTTGATTTTTTTATATAGCTGAATAGTATTCCATTGTGTATGTATACCACAGTTTTTTGGATTTTTTTTTTTTATCCATTCATCTGTTCGTGGGCATTTAGGCTGATTCTATCTCTTGGCTGTTGTGAATAGTGCTGCAATGAACGTGGGAGTGTAGGTGTCTCCTTGACACACTGATTTCATTTCCTTTGGATACATACCCAGTAGTGAGATTCTTGGGTCATAAGATAGTTCAATTTTTAGTTTTTTGAGGAAACTTCATACTGTTTTCCATATTGGTTATATTCCATAGTGGCTGTATTAATTTACATCCCCACTAACAATGTATGAGAGTTCCTTTTTCTGTGCATTCTTGCCAGCATTTGCATAAACTGATTTTTAAAATAAATAAGTATATTCATGAGGGTGTAACAGCATCTGCAGCCCAGTGAAGGTGTGTGGTGTGTGTGTGTGGGGGGGTGCATGTGTGTGTGCATTTAATATTTGAACTTCAAAGAATCTTTACCAGTGTATTTGCTGAAGTAGGACTTCTATGTGCTTCCAGAAGCTGGTTAAGGATCTCCCGGAGCAGAGAGGAATGGTTGAGGGTGAAGGTTTTGGACTTAGAGCTCAAATCCAGGCCTAGCCATCTGCCAGCAGTGTGACCTCAGGTGTCACTCACTTCTCTGAACCTCACATTCCTTGTTACAAAAGGAGGGTGATTATGTCTGGCTCATAGAATTGTTGGGTGAATTGAGTAAGAAGGTGGGTGTGCCAGGGGCTCAACCCTGTGCGTGCCCACTGGCCAGTAGGTACTAATATTGTTACTGCCTATTTTACAGATTTAAAACTGACAACTGGAGAGAGGAAAGCAAATGACCCCTAAGTCTCAGAGTTTGCCTGAGGGGAATTTGGGCATAGAACCCAGGAGTCCCGACCAGCTGCCTTGCCTCCTACAGGTCTCCAAGAGGATCCTACTGGCTGCTCTGCTTAGAGTCGAGGCACCCAGCGTGGTTCCCCCCAGGTCTCTTCCTGCTGTCCCCAAAAGAGCCTGAGCCCCACTTATGACCAGCAGCTGCTCAGCAAGAAACTCAACATGCTGACAGAGTGAGTGGGCCCAAGAAGAGCTGGAGCGGGGTTCCAAGCAGGCCAGCTGGTGTGGCTGGCTTCCAAGCGTGCACACCACCCTTCCTGGGTACCCCAGCCTCATTGTTCAGAGAGGCAAAGGGACCTGCCCTGAGACACACAGCAATGCCAGCTGTCTGCCTCTGGCTGGCACAGACATAGGCTTGCAATTGCACTAACATCTCTGCAATCTCTGACTTTGGCCCCTCTTGTTTTCCAACAGTGACATGAAGCTCTGGCATGGCTTAGTGATTGCAGCAGTCTCCCTCTTCCTGCAGGCCTGCGTCCTCACAGCCATCAGTTGCTTGCTCAGCAGGCACATGGGTAACTGGCTTAGCATCCTCTTCCCTCCTAGTCACCCTCAGAGGTCATTCCCAAGCCTACAATAGAATGACACCCCTTTGGAGCCCCTGATTATCACTGGAAAACCTACCTGAGGACCCACTGGCCAGACCTCTCTCTCCTCAGCCAACCTGTAACTGGGTAATCCCCACTCTGAACTTCCCCACTTCCCTACTCTGATCCCACCCAGACCTCTGCCTAGAGAAAAGCTTCATACCTGCTTGTGAGGAAAGGCTCGTTTAACCCGGGCCTAGTTAATTTTCCTCTTCACTGCCAAGGACTGAACATGAGGAAATGGCCTCAAATTGAAACAAAAGGAAATATGGCTAGAATTAGAAATCAGTTTAAATTATTGAACTGATTTACAATAGAAGGCAGAGAAGCTCCATCCTGGGAGGTTATTACAATCAGGGAAAATAAATAATGCTGCTTGGGCTGTGCTAAGACAGGGGATTGGGCAGAATAACATTTTGAGGGTTTTTCCAGTAAATGAAGTCAAGCCTTCTCCATTCATTCATTCATTCATTCATTCATTCATTCATTCATTCATTCATTCAATCTATTCATCCATTTGACAGATATTTACTGAGCACCTAAGGTACTCTCTAGACCCGGGCTATACAACAGGGAACAAAACAAAAACTCCTGCCCTGTGGATTTCCATTCCATGGGACAACAAGCAAGCTGAACAAGTAAAACATATGTGCGTTAATTATGATCAGTGCCAGGGAGGAAAGATGAAGCGAGGCGAGGAGATGTGGATTGGGGTGACCAATGTGCCTGAGACGCTGACATGTGAGTACAGGCCTGCAGGAAGTGAGGAGTGAGCCGGACCTGCAAAGGCCTGG